AGAGTAGTGTATACCGAATGCATGCGTTGAGCTAGGGAAGACGCAAAGTTAGACAGAGGCATGTCCGTTGATGTGGGAGACGAAAGGAATGCTCCTGGCAACTTTAGCGTTGTGACGTAAACCAGCTCCACTAGTGCACATTGCAAATCAGCTTTGATGCTGCTACGAATGCCTAAGATAACAAACGCAACCTTTTCGTTCCACCTAGGGTCCGAGAAGTCGCAGAGCGGGACTTTAAGGTGTCCATGTAAGCGTTCGATTAAACCGCTGGCGGCTGGGTGCTAGGCTTTGGTGTGAATAAGGCGACAGCCTAAGATTTTGCAGAATCTAACTAATTGTGAAGGTTCGATGGGCGTTCCACAGTCAGTTGTGATGGTGGATGGGCATCCGTAGTTTGATACCCACCAATCTCGGAATAACCGGATAACAGTCACAGCTGCGCATTGTGTTACGGGAATGGCTTCTGGCCGTCTGGCGAAGTGGTCGACCCAGGTAAGCATATATACTCATTCGAGTGAGAGATGCAATGGACCTACCAGATTTAAGTGAACCTGTAAGCAACGAGAGTCTACGGCAAGAAATGAGCCAGGAGGTCTGCGGGTGTGACAATGTATTTTGGAGCGCTGACCTAGAAGGCAGGCGCGTGCCCAGGTACTGATATCTTTGTTTACGCGTAACCAAAGAAAACGTTCAATGACCGGTTTCAAAGATATACGGATGCCGGGATTTGATAGTAGTTGTAGTGCGTCGGAAACAGTGCGTCTATAGGAGGTAGGCGCCAGTGGTCTGGGACAACCTGCGGAACTATCAGAGAGGATTGTCCTTGCCGTGGTTTGGAAAGGAACAGGCTGCACACGCAGCAACATGGACTGCAGGGTGCGTTGTATATCTTCATTTTGAGCCTGAGCCGATGCCATGACGGAACGCTCGACGGTAGGCAACGACTGGAAAGTGAAGTTGACGCGGGAGCGAGCGTCGATGACGGAGTTGTCGACACCTGAGACATGGTGTATGTCAACCATGAACTGCGTATCAGTGACCTGTATCAGCGAACACTGATAAAACCTGTACTGATACCGTGGCCGTATGTCCGACCGCGGTTACGACGGAGAGTGACCATTGTAGACCTGCCAGCCAACACGTCTGTGCTTCGTGCGTGTGTCTGTCTCCGTGCATGCTCGCGCGACTCATGACGTCTGACCGTAGCCAGTGGACTATTGATCGACTTCGTTCAATCACATACCCAGCGTTCGCTTACCTGCACATTTATCTGCCCTGTAATTGTATTTGCCTGAAGTGAATTGCCAAAAATTGTTCTCTTCGGAAGTGTTGCGATTAAAATATTTGAGTATATCAAAGGTATATTTTTGGACGCAGGCTAGGTGTTGTGCTCCCGAAAGTGTAGATAAATAGGTACGCTGATCACGTGCTCTTGTATGGATGGTTGCAACTTTGAAAGAACCTGCTCCTTGTTCGTGAACATCATGCCAAGCAGTGGAGCAATTAGTTTTACTATGTCATTTACAGCAGTTTGCAGTTTTATGACGCTGGCTTTCCGGCGACTGTAACATACGCACAGGCTTCTTTAGGTATATTTTGTAGGAGGCTCGCCACGCCGAACATACCACGCCCAACTTGATTTTCATTTGGACTTCTACATGCAGTCTTTGAGGTCCATAAGATTAGCAGACGCAATGCGGCGCGCAAAGCCCGAAGTAACTTAGGGATAAGTCAATCCCATTCTGACCTCTGAAACGCTACCGCTAACATCGGCTGCTTATTATTCAGTGAAAGGCTCTACTTCAACCAGAAAGAATGCGTTAAATCGTACCGAACTGAAACGAAACTATGTCCGAATATGCTTCCGTGTGTTACATAGTTTGCTGGAAGAACTCATGTTTTCTATCTGGGTGTACTTTTAATAAAATTTAAGAAGATATTTCGACGTTTTTAAGCATTTGCTTTGGAGGTGCTTCGCGAAAATCAGGAACGCATATTTATAATTTGGACTTTCTTTTGTAGGGGTACAATTGGGACGCACGGCAAGTGTTCTTTCGTTGCTTGCATGATAAACCAAACTCGACTATTGTTAATATAATTTGACAGCAGTTTGCTGCTCTCTCCGGTGACCTCAAGGAAGATGCACATTAGTTTTCAGCTTGACGAAAATGACTCTGTTCTAAACCTTATGTTGCTGATGAGAACTGCAGATAAAACAATACTTTTGGTGGTCAACTAAGCCATACACTATGGTTAAGTATTTGTATAGACCATTTTCGGTGATTGCTAGTGGCGTGATTGCTAGGCACGGCTTAAATTATTGCGACAGATATTCCACTCAGAAGCACACGGGCGTTCGATTTATTCCTGTCCTTATTTCGAGCTTGGACCATCATCCAGCTCCCGAAAGAAATCATTGTTTGGTTCCTACTTGTTGGATACTATGTTTTCCCTCATCGTCTGGACCCGTATACATTTCAGCGTAAAACACCGGTTGTCGGAAATGATATTTCTAAGGTCCATGGTTGATGGCACGGATATGGCAAACTTGGCACCGTGTAACTGCAACGTCTCAATTGAGTTCTTAAGTCCACCAACCTGCCGCCTAACTGTGGGCAAAGGAGTTCTGACTACATAATCCAACCCAAGCGTATGGGCTTATGTGCAAACGATTTAAATACATCAAACGAAATGTAATCGTTCTAAAGTGAGGTTAGCTTTGTACTTTAGGCTTGTGAACACTTACCCGTGGTTGTTCTTTTGCCTTTCATATCTTCTGATAAATGCAACACAAAACCCGTCGATTGATTGTGCCAAGCTAGTCTGATGGCGGTTAAATGGGACAGGCCACAGAGTACAAGATAGATTTTTGTTTAGTATTTGCTGCCCATTGTTAGCCGATTCCTTTCATTTATCTAAATAGTTCACCATGAAACAGTTATCATTTAGCGAAATCGAGGATGCGATTGCAGTGGATGAGAGACAGGTTTGAACCATGTAATTTTAAGTTATCTGCAACGGCCACACTTTAGCTTGTCCCTTAGCCATGTAGAGAGTTTAAAGCGATGGATCAACAGCACTACGTGTCACTAGTGGTAACAACTGTTGCAAAATTGATTGAAATTACATTTTCTATGCCGCTCAATGCAGGTAAAGATAAGGCACATTTCGTTTCCTGGGAGAGAAATTAAATCGTCTCATGTGTGGTGTCTCCCAGAAAGTTCATATTTTTCCACCTCCTGTGTCAGCAACACGCTCACATCAAAACTACTGCATCACAAAATGAGTAAATTTCGTCACTTGAAATTTACGCACTGGAACTCTAAAACACTCATACAGTAATAGCAGCCATGTTGAGCTATCTCACGCATACCCAACACTACGAAGTTTAAGATGTTGTTCTGTCCAGAACACTTCCGATTAGAGAGCCGGTAGCATCGTAGTGCACGGCTTTTTCTTATCCTAATTCAACAAAGTAATGAATGGATAATATTATACCGTTAGGATCTAACAGCTGTAAGCAGAGCAGGATGTACATGAGACCATCGTGACAGAAAAATGAACAATGATTTATAACGCGTTAAAAAGCAGGTGCTTGACATGTCCCGTAGGGTGTTTAGAGTGCGAAAAGATAAATCAAGGGATAATGGGATCTTCATTTCGGGCGATTACAGAGTTAACTGCGCTGCCGTCTAAGGGGTTTGAAATTAAAATGTACGCACACAAAACCATAAGGGGAGTGGTTATTGACCACGTAATAAGCGAGAAAAAAGGTAGCAAGGACAACACTTACTCTTGTGCAACTATCTTGGGTCGACAGGATACGGAAATCCAGTTTCTATTGTGGTAGCGTTTGTCAAATTTCGTGCAAGGGGTTTGGGGTGACGCATTCTCGGGTAGGGTTATGGCACTACCCACTGTCTGTTGTGTTTTAGTGCCAGCATCTGGTGGTCGTGAGCTATAGCACGTAGTGTAAATGGGATAGAGTACCGGCAAGGCGTTTTATGAAAAGGGATAGGGTGGGTGCATTCCTTACATGTTCCGAGAGGGCGTTCCAAGGCTATGCCACTCGAACGGAGAAATAGTTTCGCTGACATTCCAGGCAGCTGTATTGCGTGACCAGGTTAAACCGCTGACCTCTTAGCTGGGTGTTTTGTCTATCAGAAAGGAATGGCATGGGTTGTTGGGTTTCTCAGGATCTGAGACACCATTATGAGATCGCCCTTAGACGCCGATAACGTTTAATGCATATTTTGAGAGTCTTCAGCCTGACTGGGTAGGGGAGGCTCGTCAAACCTCTGAAGCACTTCGCTGTCCCACGTTGTGCAGTATCGAGCGCGGTGAGATGGTGCTTGAGCTAGAGTTGCCAAGATTGAATAGCGTATTCCGCGTGCGGCCTCACGTACGCACTAAGCATTTTTGGAAAGACTGAAGGGTCAAACTTCAAGAAAGCTTTGCGAAGAAAAACGACGTCCTGGTTTGCTATCTTAGATGCCTTTTCATTCCGCCTCAATCAACCGAGGTCGTCTTGAACTATCACGCCGAGATAGCAATCGTGAGAAGCCCGCTTTAGAATTTGTGGTCCTAGGCGGTACTTGTGCATACACTTGTGCCGTATGCTGAGAACTTTACACATGGAGACGTTGAAATGCAGCATTGTCTCGATGGACCATGTGTACGATCTTCCAGGTTCTCCTGTAACACTGTGTGATCCTCCACTGCAACTATAGTACACCATACCTTTAGATCATCAGCAAATAGCAAACGGTTAGACGATAACACGCTCGTGAGATTATTTATGAAAAGCAGGCATAGGCGGGGTCCAAGTACCGAGCGTGGAAGTACGCCGCACTGAACTTCGATGGATTCCGGCAGGTTGCTTTGAACCCTCACATTCAGATGACATTGTACGAGAAAGTCTCCTATCCAGCCCAGAACAGGATCTCCGATTCCATATTTCTGGAGTTTATGGAGCAGAATGCGATGGTCTAGACAGTCGAATGCCTTTGAGAAATCCAAGTAGGCCGCGTCGACTACTACATCAGCGTCCACAGATTCTGTCCAGCTTGCGCGACCAATCAACAGGACCAATTTTGGCGAAATCCGTGCTGCACCGGAACGAGAATTTTCTTCTTCTTCAGATACTCAATCAAAGCCTCAGCTACAGTGGACTCCGTAACCTTGGAGATGGAAGGAAGTAGTGTTATCGGGCGATAATTTGCTGGTTCAGCACGGCTGCCACTTTTGTAGATTGGGCTGATGATGCCGTGATTCCACATCGTGCGGACGTGCATCTCGTTCATACATCGTTGAGAGAAAATTACTAGTGGTCCTGTCTAACTCATGGCGGCAACTTTCTACGCCTTCTTGCGAATGTTGTTCCCACCCGGGGTGCTGAACTCTCGCAGAGACATCAGCCACTTCACTAAGGCTGTGGAGGTGAACGATTTGTGATTTAGACCTGATGGTGGCCTTATCTGCTTAGACAAAATGTATGGTGATTGCACACTTTGGAAGTTGCGGCCAAATTGTTGTCCAAGGACGTTGGCCGACTCTAGTGCGGTTTGGGCTAACCCGCATGCTGTGTGCAGAGCAGGAATGCCGCGCTTAACACGGCGCAAGTTGTTTACGTGTCTGTATAGCAGTTTGGGTTTGAAACAAAACGTTTCCACTAGACCTTGTTGGTTCTTCATTTTACCCTCCCTGACGAGTTTTACACCGTGTTTTCCTTATATTGTGTAGACATCCCAGGTGTGGTCGATCAGGGAGGCTAGGTAGGCGCTTCATACCAAGTCCCTTATGCCATGTATGTACGTGTACTGCCCCTTACGAAAGACTTCATCCTTTTAGGCCTGAAGAGTTTGATTTCAGATGTCTTTGCCACGAGCTTGGTAAATATGTTGACGAGTTCTCTGCAGGCCACCCCAGGGGTTAATTGATCTAAGAACGGCCAGCTGGTTGCATCAACGAGATCGGACAAGTCGTCATAGTTGGTTACGACATGATATTCTTCTTCATGCTCTCTAGGATTATCCGCGTAGCACATGTAATGTAACACTAGCGTCGCATGATCCCTGCGGCCCAAAGGAGTATCGGTTATCACTCTCTCGACCATCAGTTCTTTAGTAGCGAATATTCTGTCCAATATGGATGGCCTGTTAGTTTATCTGAACCTGGTGGGCGTAGTGACGTGGCCATAAGGCGAACAGTCTGAAAGCAGATCTTGCAAATCTACTTTGAATCGCTCTCCTGGTGTCACCTGGGATTCTGGAGCATGTAAGTTGAAGTCGCTGGTGATTAGAATGTGACTATACTTCCTGTTTATCACTTGCCTCAACGCAGCCATCAAATTTCAGTCCCGCTCAGGAGTAGAAGATGGTGGGGGGTAAACATCAACCAATAGGCAAAGCTCGTTCACTCCCAGCCGGAACTAAAACTAAATGGCTTCAGGTACGGAGGTTTCCGAATCGTTTATGGGTTCGCATTGCACGTTGTTAAGAACGTAGAGGTCTACCCTACAACCGTTGCTTGCTCGATCCTTCCGGACGACGGACATGCCCGTTAGCGCGATTGCAGCATCCATTATCTCACAGCGCAACCACCTTTCGGTGTCAGCGATGTAGTCCCAAGCTGCTGACTCGTGTCGAAGCCTTAATTCTGCTGACTTGCTGAGTAGATCTTATGCATCTGTGTACATGCATGAGAAATTTTCGGAGACCAAAAGTGTGTTAGAAGAAAGTGAGTTTACGCCGACCAATAAAAAGTCAGCGACTAATGGTTTTTTGATGGGTTGCAGGTTCTCGAGACGATTTTGTTATATATTCAAGTAACAGATGCCCTGGATCCCGATGTTTGCTCGTGCTCTGTTGTATCCATTCGGATATTATGGCTACTCTTGAAACCGTCCCCGAGTCGGGTCCTGCAGTTGGTGTTTTCATTAAGAGTTGTGCCTCTACTAAATTGGCATTAGAAGGAGCTGGTGTTCCCACTGCTTTCAGACGAATTACTGTTGACAATATGCAACGAAATTTAGTCCAGTTCTCTAGTAGGGTTTGTGCTGTTAGTTCTGACTTTGACCCAAGTTTTAACAGCCTGGGACCGCACCCCTTATAGTGTGGTGATATGGGATCCTTCTCAACGAGGTGCCCACGACATTTTCGAGAGTAAGAGCCTACCGGATGTAGTACCACTGCTCGCGGTCATGCATCTGAGCATCGTCGGAAGAGGAATCAGTAAGCTCAGGAACATTGTGATCAATCACTATTTTCCTACCTTGAGTTTTTCTGCACCTCTCTTTGTTAGCGGGATCCACTGAACGTTCTTTCCACGGCATTTTAGATAGTACGCATACTCCCCTTGAGTCATTGCGATGACGATTCGCAGACAGCAAAACGGCCTTAGTCTCGTCCGTAGAGTTTAGTGTTACCCGAAGTAACTGGGGTTCGCCGTAGTGCAACGCGTTTGCGTGACGCGTGATTCTTTTTAATGTCGTGGGATTTTCATGGTCACCGATCGACGTATAGATGGAACCCCACTGATTTCGATCGTCCGTTAACTTACCCTTAATTTTATTGGAGTTGGATTTGAGGACATTTGTGCGCACAAGGTTTAGGGTACCATGGTTGCGCCTGGTGGCTACTACTTTTGGATTTGGAGACTTAGTATCCCGTGATTTTGGTGAATTTGTGAACGGCACTGATGGGTGCAATTCGTGCTGAGACACGTTTGTTCTCTATAGTCCGGGCACAATGGTCACTGGTGCTGTTTCCGGTGTTTGCTTGGCAGCAACCCATGCGTAAGTTGCCCGGTTGTTCACTATTGCTGGTTGACTATACCTTACGGTCTCGTGTGTAGCGAACAGACTACTAGGTGCAGCACACAGTACAAAAGTTGAGGCAGGCGCGCTACAGGCACTGTTTTTACTTATAGGAGGGAGAGAGAATGGAGTTGGTACTGCTGGAGGCTGAGTCGTTGGGGTTAGGCTGGGACGCCTGGCTCGCTTCTTCGGCCTGATTAGGGAATTCGGTGTGTTGGTTTAACTCACAAGTGCAGGTCCGTTTCCACCCTTGGGTGGGGCGCTGGCGCTCATCAGTTGCTCGACCGCTTCGGTTGGTCTTTCACTCCTCTTCAGTAGCACAGCCAGACAGCTAACAAATGGGATAGAATTGCATACTTGACAGAACCAAAACGCCTCTGCGGTGTTTGTTTTCGTCGACCCTATTCCCAAGGCAGATGTTTTGCTGGGATTTTAGACATATGGTACACACCGGACCATTTTTACCACTTAAGCACCTGATTCGTATTTGCTCTTCATACGAGACATGTTCACAGTAGGCGTGCTACTTTAAAGGGTACAAAGAGGACATAGATACTGACGCACCGCGTTTGACTTAGCTTCACTTTTCGTTGTGCGGCTATTGGCGCCGATTGGAGGTCAGGGGGTCGAGCTCGTCGCGTCCAGATGAGTTACACGTTCCTAAGGGTTGATAGGCTACTTGTCTGCTATCGAGCCGGCCGGTAAATGGATTGGCAGCAGTGCAGCGTAAGATTGGGGCAAAGTAAGGTGACTTGGAAAATACTGTCTTATGACCACAGTTGTTTTTCCAATGGCTTACCAAATTGACAACTATCGCTTTGTACAGCGACTTTAAGGAATGGTAGTAACTGGTCGGGTGACTCTCAAAAAGAACTTTAAAATAAGACCACCAGAGTTCTTATGCGACTAGAAGAAAATAAATGCTCCGATAAGATCCAAATACGGTTGACTTCGAAATTGCAAAAGCACAGGTTGCTGGTGATCCGCGAATGATAGATCCAATAGATGAACAGTGGCAGGAGGAGCTCGCGGAGCCAAATCGAAGGGTAGCACGTAGGTCACTGTGAGAATAAATCCGAAGATTTAAAGGCTAATAACACAGGAGGACAATTTCTGTGACCGCGCGGGAGCGACTAACCATGTGATATTGGACTTGTCGTACAAAAGCATCGATAGGTTGATACTAGCGCAAGGGGTGGAACTAGTGTGCAACTTGTTGTATTGAAGTGACGGTAGTGAACGTCGTTTGAAAGCGCCGATTTAAATTGAACTCAAGCATGTAGCAAAGGATCTATTGAGACAGTATTTCATGCTGTTTACTTCTGGCCCTAACAAACGGACCTAGTGGTGGTTAACGTAATTACTCGTGGTAGTTAGTTGCTTTCATATTAGCCGGTTTTAATTTGCAGCCGTCAACTTGATTTTGGACTACTTTGACTTACCGTTTCAGAATTGTAGTATGAATATCACGAATAGAAATATTTGGTCTGACCAAATGGCTGCTTCTTTTGGGCACATACGTTTAAGGCGCTTGTATGCTTGACAATGTTTTAGAACCAGATGAGGAAATCAACGAAAAAGTTATCTTTGAATATCTGTAGCAACGAGTGCCACAAGCACCGTCATTCCCTGTGCGGAGGCATGCAAAATGATTGATCCCAATTCCGAGTGGATCAATAGCAATGGACGAAATATCGAGTAGAATAATAAATAAAAATGTCGTACGTTTCCTGACAGGTAGTATACGGCCGCTAAGCAAGAATGATCGTTTGTACCTGAAAGTACTGGCATGCTTTACACAGCTTAAAACAGAATAATAAAGGTGAAAGATGAAAAATAGAATTAGGAATCATGAAATTTCCATGGTATCACTGCGTCGATCACTCCAAATGCAGAAGGTACGATTACTTGTACCTTAGTTTTCACATTTTTTATAGGTAGCCTAATCTTGGAGCAGTCAAAAGTAGCGTAAGGGAGAGTAGGTTGTACACGCACATGATAAATTTCATGGTAATGAAAGGAGAGGATAAGCTGACTGTAGGAAATTGGCTGCTCATATGTTGTTTAGACGAGTTCTGTAAATCTTTCTGGCAATTGTTGTGCAACAAACGTCATTAGCATACTCGGAATGGTATGGAAAGTGTCTAGTAACTTTTGGACTGCAGCATTGTTAACACTCATAAGTATTTGTATTGGCATTTGCATCCACAGCTTAGCGTATCTCACTAAAAAGAAAGTCGATTTGATTTTATTACTTACAAGCTTTGAGGGCAACAAGTAACCGCCATTACAGTTGGGATGAATGACAGTTTCACTTAGATCGTGGGCTGTGCAGTCTACAAAACTTCGCTAATCATGT